TAAATTAATAGGCTTTCCATACATTACGGAATAATAGCTTTATCGTCTTTGGAAACTTATTCCCTAATGTAATCATTTTTTAAGCAACAAATTAATAGATTTATATATATATATATAAGTTGAAGCCCACATTTATTTTTAACTTGATAAGTAATTTTTATGCTCCGTCCATATAATATATATATATATATATATATATAATATATGGACGGAGCATAAAAATTACTTATCAAGTTAAAAATAAATGTGGGCTTCAACCCACGAAGCTACAGAACTTGTTCCATTTACATCCAATGTAACAATCTAAGCTACCTCACTAGTTTCCCACGTTAAAGCAAATGGACATTAAATGAGAAGTAGGTAAGGTTAGGTTAGGTAGGTGTGGTTAGAGACTAGATAACTAATCCCCCCACTTAGGTCACACTGGGCACTGGTTCTTTTCGAGTTGTAATTTGGCCACGTGAGTCTAGAATTGTGGCATGTTGAGATTGTGTTCCATCGATTGTTGGAGAGAGTGTACAGTCTCTGCCTGAGGTGGAGCTAGTAGGTAGCCATGGGCATACCCACCGTGTTCTTATCGCGAAGGATGTCGGCGGTTGTCCCTTGTCTTGCTAGCTCGTCTGCTATGCAGTTGCCATCAATATTATGGTGTCTAGGCACCCAGATGAGAGTGATTCTCAGATGAGTGGCCATCTCGTTCAGAGATTTGCGGCATTTAGAGATAGTTGTTGAGTTTGTTGTATAGGAGTCGAGGGCCCTGAGGGCTGCTGACTGACTGTCCGAAAAGATTAAGATGTCTGTGTTGTGATGTTTTGATGTATCCAGGTAGGACATTGCTTCCTAAATTGCCATGACTTCCGCTCGGAAAACACTACAGTGGTCTAGTAGGCGGAGTGAGACTCTTATGTCCAGATCGGGAGAGAAATCTCCCCCACCTGTTTGGGAGTTAAGCTTGGAGCCGTCTGTGTATATGTTGACGGCGTTTTCGAATTGGTGTGGGAGGTTGTCCCAGTCTGTACGGGTAGGTATGAAGATCTTGTATCTTCTTTCGAAGGGTGGAACGTAGTCTGTAATATGTGGTATGGATAACTGATTTGTTAGGATACTGGAGTGTTCCGTTGAGCCTGTTGTCCATGCCGCTGCTTCGCGGAGCCTCAGCGCTGTTGCAGATGCCCAGCTTTTGGCAAGTAGGTCCAGGGGTTGAAGGTCGAGGATTGTGCTTAGTGCTTCAGTGGCGGTGGTGCGGAGCGCCCCAATGATGGAGAGCTCTGCGCTTCTTTGGATCAATACAATTCTTTTCTAGGGAAGGCCACCACACGATGTTTCCATAGAGAAGAATGGGCCTGACTATTGCAGTGTATAGCCAGTGAACTATTATTGGGGAGAAACCCATCTTCCATTCTATAGCTTTTTTTAAAAAAGAAGAGTGCTATGGTCGCTTTGCGTGTGGGATCTAAGATGTTGTCTATCCAGTGGAGCTTTTGGTCAAGGATGACACCTAAGTACTTTGCTTGGTTACTAAAGGTGTAGTTTTGGAAAAGTTAGACTTGGTATCTTATAATTCCTCGTGAATAGCACGTACCACTTTAGTACCGGCTTGCTGTAGAAGTGATAGTAGTTTGCTGACCACTATAAGCCATAGAAGAGGTCAGAGTAAGCCCCTTTATGGGATTCCTCTGCTGACATTCCTGGTCGAGTGTGCAGATCACATAGTGGAGTACACTACTCTGCTGGTAAACATGGTGTGTATGAGACCCACTATGGGCCGCTCAATGCCCACTGTGATAGCCGTTGGGGTGACGTTGTTGGAGGCGCCTTCTATGTCTAGAAACGCTACCAGAGAGTATTCCTTAATGCGGAATCCTCTCTCTATACTAGATACTAGAGAGTGGAAGGCGGTATCTGTTGATCTGCCTTTACGATACGCATGTTGTGCGTCGGAGAGTAGGCTTGGATTGATGGTTTGCCTGATATGTATGTCAATTAGCCTTTCTAGGGTCTTCAACAAGAAGGAAGAGAGACTTTTTGGGCGAAAGTCCTTTGAGTTGGTGTGGGAGGGTCTGCCGGCTTTCGGTATAAAAATTACTTTAACGTCCACCCACCTTGTAGGAATGTGGTACAAGGCAGCCGTGGAAGATGGCTGTCAGCCAGGGTAGGGATATATCTAGTCTCCGTTGAAGTTGGCCGGGAAGAAACGTTCCGGGCCGGGGTTTTTGAAGGGCTTAAAAGAGTTAATAGCCCGCTTGGTGTGGTCAGGGTCTGAGATGTTGTCTATGCTCTGGTCGTCAAGATTCTCCTTTATGTAGAGGTCCTCCACTGCTTGGGTATTTTTAGGGAAATGGGTGTCCAACAGGAGTTCAAGGGCTTGCTGACTGTTTTCCGCCCATTGGTTGTTAGGTAACCGATGGTGGCTGGAGATTTTGCTAAAATTCTTCTGAGTCTGGATGCCTCTGCAGTAGATTCTATGCTACTACAGAAATAAGCCCATCCTCTTCGTTTTAATATTCTTATTTCCTTTTTATTCGAAGGGCTTAAAAGAGTTAATAGCCCGCTTGATGCCATCAATGTTTGATAATTTGTCTATGCTCTGGTCGTCAAGGTTCTCCTTTATGTAGAGGTCCTTCACTGCTTGGGATTTTTTAGGCAAATGGGTGTCTAACAGGAGTTCAAGGGTTTCCTGACTGTTTTCCGTCCAGCTGTCAACATTGGTTGTTAGACAACCGATGGTTGCTGGAGATTTTGCTAAAATTCTTCTGAGTCTGGATGCCTCCGCAGTAGATTCTATGATACTACAGAAATTAGCCCATGCTCTTCGCTTTGATTTCTTATTATCTTTTTGTATAGGCTAAGCTTTGTATTGTATAAGCTTTCTAGTTCTTGGCCGTTGAGTACGTGCGTCGGTGGAACAGTTGGTAAGTCTTAGATTAGTAATGTTCTCGGCGGAAGCACAGTCTAGAGCTATTGTAAATTCTATGTATCGGTGGTTTGGGAATAAGTGTTCGACCCCCACTTTTCACGCTTCTAGCTGGTTAAGTAGGGGATCAGATATTAGTGTAATGTCTAAGAGTTCCCTCCTATTTCCCGTAATAAAAGTTGGGTCATTACATTTGTTGCACATAAATAGATTTGATTGAAGGAGATTGATAGTCATAGAGTAACTCACCGCTTTGAGTTTGTACTTCCCAATTGCGTGTTGTGAGTTAGCGTCCCCTCCCAGGATGAGTTCCTTAAATGAGTGTGCATGTATGAGTTGTTGTGTTGTGGTGTTTGGTAATGGCCCGTCATAGTCGTGAGCCAGATAGAATGATGCAATGGTGTGATGAGGGTGTTCGTTTAGCTCCAGTCTGACCGTGGTGAGGTCGCATTCGCTAAACTGAGAAATATGATAAGCGTTAATGTGTGTCTTGGTAAGAATGCATGTTCTGTGTTTACCCTTTCCCTTGGTGTGAAATAGTTTGTATAGGGGGTTGATAAGCCACAGATGTTGTTACCAACAATGCATTGCTCTTGAATGAGGACTGCGTATATATTGCCGGTTGCCAGGCGGATGAGGAGGGCAGCTAATGCTGCCTTGCTGTTGTGAAGATTAATCTGTAGAAACTGCACCATCTTTAGGACCATGATCGGGCTGGGTACCATCCGCTTCCTCCGCTATGTCCTGGAGAACAGTGCGCCCTGGTCGGGTCGTGTCCTGAGTGCACAGCTGCTTCAGGCTTTCGGTGAGCTCTGAGTCAGTTGACACGTTCCCTGTATGGATGGCGTCCTTGTGTTCCATTTCGTCGTCACTCAAGGGCTCATACGATGCGCAGGCAGCCAGGTTGTCCACAGCTAGCTTGTCCATGTCATAGATGCGAAGCTCGGTTTTCTCCACCTTAACCACTTTCCAACCATCTGTCGGAAGCTTCGGGTTGAACCTAGTCAGCAGTCTGAGGATAGCCCCTGGCTCCGAGGGTTCAGACGGCAGCCACACCCTCGCTCTTGGTCGACCCGGGATGTCTGCAGCCTCGCAAACTGCCAGCTTGACTCCGGGGGAGACCTCGCCGACCTTGTTGATTGCAGCCTTGTAGAGCGCTGCCAATCTTTCGACCTCACAGGCGATCAACTTCATATTTTGCTGTTACCTCCCCGAATCTGTGCAATCGGGTGGTGGACCTGGGTTTTCGTCCAGCCCTTTCAAGGCCACTGTCGCAAGGGCCCGTCTAACCAGACCCCACTGGTTTCTGGGGATCCTATCGCCTTCTTCGCTCTGGTCGATGACGCCAATGATCTTCCGATCCTTTACCACTTCTGTTTAGAACCTCGACCATGTGCCGTCTTGGTTGTCTTGCCCTTCTTGCTTGTTGCTATTGCTGGTGGTCAAAGCGATGTCAAAGTCTGAGATTACCGCCTTTGCCCAGGCTATATCTTCTTGGATTTTTTGGTGATCCACTTTAGACGTTTGATCCTCACGTATGGGGTTGGTGGCCAGCCGTTTGAGGATTCTGAATGCCTTCTTACGTTCCAGAGGTCCTGTTGTTCTGTGTCCTCTTAAACTCATTGGCCCTGGTGCTCACCACAAGATCAGCTTTGGCAGTCCCCTAAGGTTGGGTTAGCTGATTAGCCGTTTCTACGCTGTTGGGAGGTTTCGGCTGGTCTTTGTGGTGTTTCGGGCTTACACGGCTGCGTTGTTTGCTGACCTTGCAGGGGTTGAAGTCACGTGGACTTGGGCTTTCGGAGCCGTGATCTTGCTCTTTCTATCGTCGTTGGTTACGACTTCCGACTTTTTAACAGTGTTGGGCTCTTGTTTGGTGGTGTTGTTGTTCTTCCTATTTCAATTCCCCATAATCGCGCATGGTAAATTTGTGTTTTTAGACACATATCATTTTTACCATCAAATAATGTCAAATTGATACCAAAAAATGTCAAATTGTCGATTTCTCTCTTTTCGGAAATTTCTTGACATCGAAAAAGAGAGGATGTAGCAATATGGCGACATCAATCACGTGAGTAGAAGCGAAAAGGATATATTCGAAATTCGAATTGGGCTAATTCGAACATGTTGTCTCGCTTGCACTAGGATGCGTTTTAGTGGATTTTTTGCCACTTGAATTTTATTTTGATGCAGGTCGGACGTGCATGGTCAGTGTAGTGTTTCTCCAAGTTGAAAAAACAGGTAAGTAAACTTCATATATAATGTGTATACGTATAAAGTGTTATAAGAACATAATAAGTGGAAAAAAATAAAATCGTGTGCGGTTTTCTGAGTGGCTTTTATTATACGACTGCCCTACGACAAGAAAAACACGTGCAACTATGTGTGTACATACATACATACGTACGTATGTAAGCGTGCGTATCTGTAGAGGCTGCGCCGGCGTGAAAACAAATTTAATAAGTAACATAACATAATTGAATTTAAAAATTAATTTTTATTTCTACGCCGTCCTGCAAAGTCGCTTCTCATACACACTTATGTATGTATGGACAGATGCACGTACTTTTTATTGCCGTAAGAATGAATGAAAGACACACATTGTCATACACACATAGTTACGCATGTACATACATATGTATGTATGGACAGATGCACGTGCTTTTCATTGTCGTAAGAATGTGCGTGTGGGTAGTTTAAAAAAATGCATAAGTGAAATTTATATATCGAGAGTTTATTTAATTTCACTTGTGCATTTTTTTGTTTCTCACACGCACATTCATTCGTATGAATAAACATTTACAGTGTTTTTGCGCTCAAACACTTACACACAAATGTAAATATTGGCCCTTTTTTTTAGAAAAAATGACGGAGTCTGAAAAGGAAGAACTGTTAAGTTTCTTGACTGATCAGGACCTACCAATGTCCTGTTACGACTGTCTTATTGGTAAATATAAAACAAATATAGTGTATTGATTTACAATTTTGGTTTTCAGATTGTGGTTTTACTTTCCAAAGGCTCAAATATATAAACGATAGCGACTTGCTGCATATATTCCCAAAAAGAGAGCAGTGCGGGATTCGGGCCGAGTTCAGGTCAAAATTAAAAAAATGGAAAGAAGATATTGTAAGTATTAGGAGTGCACTGTTTAATTATATTATATTACATTACAAAAAATATCGAAAATGTTTGCGAATTGCATAAAATTTTGCATATTCTGGAAAGTTTTTCAAAAACAATTTTTGTTATTACCCACCCTGCAGTTCCACAATTGAGCTAAGCGCCCAATCATCACGAAGCCGACTGCGACGTCGGCAGAGAAGCCAGCGACGCCGGCAGAGCTGAGCGCAACGGCGGCAAAGCGACGCGCCCTCAGTCGGGTCCGCAAAGAGAACGCACAAAAAGTAATTTTGGGCTCTCCCTCTCTCGCCATGTCTCAGACGGAAAAGTGCGTGTGATGGGAAGGAGGCCCAGCAACTAAAATATATAGACTTTTGTGCATCCTTGCCTTTTGAATAATGCGACATTTGTTCGTAAATGATAAAACAACCATTTAAAATAATAGGTTTCTGTTTTAAAATATTTGTGTTTCTTAAAAAAATGTATAGGTTTATTAATATTATTTAATAATATGTGAAGTTTTAAAAATATATTTTTATAAACCGATTTGCATAGTCGGATATGTCTATAAATACGCTGCTTTTATGTGCAAGATGCATAGACCAAACGGGACATGCCAAAAAAACAGAACAACAACGGATTAGCGGAACCGTAGTTGTTGTTGCTTGTTGTTTTTCTGAAGGGCACGCGACTTTTTTCGTCTTTTTCACTTGGGTTTACTTATGTGAAGGAGTTAGAATTGCACGCAATTAAGGTAGTTAAATAAAAAAAAACCAGTGGTTTAAAAGTGATACCTATACGATTCCCAGGTTAGTCTGTCGCAGACCAATATTAATTTAATCAGTGAGAGTAAAAACAAGTTAATGTATATATTTAAAAAATGGAAAATCCAAGATTCCCAAAAAAACACGTGGCGGAAAAAAAATAGCTGTGAAAAATATTAATTTTTGACGTGAAAAACAAGAAATGATGCATATAAATAAACAAATGAATGAATCTGTGAAAAAATTTGAAAATCTTATTGAGTGCTAAGTTCCTAGGGACCGAAAATAAGAGATGTTTGTTGTCTTGCATCATATGGAGTTGCCTTGTTAACGACTACCCCACACGCGTAGGTCCGAAGAGAGGGTGAACTTTAAGGGCGGCGTGCGCCTGGTGGCGCTCGTGGCAGTCGTTTTATTCTGTTAACAATTCAAATCAGCCTCATACATTTCAAACTAACTTAATCTTACCGCAGTGTGCCCTCCTACGATTCACAAGACAATGAGAAGCACAATTTATGGCGGCATCCATTAAACCGATATTAGTAGGCCCGCACTTCAAGGGCCAAGAAATCCATACGAGATCGGATAAATTAACAAATACTAGATTTCTCTTACAATACTTAGTCTACCTATCGATTACAATGTTCGACCGTCGACATCCCCGACCCCGTGAAGAACCGCTTCACTCAAATCCAAAACTGCAAGTTTTGAGACGGGCCGCAACATTGTCCGAGATAGGCCATTGTCGTTCACGCGCACAGTAGCGCGTCTGACGACTCCATCAGCTCCGCTGTAGACCTCCTCCACGATTCCCTTGCGCCACTCTCGTCTGGGCAAGGCAGGATCGCAGACGAAGACCATATCGCCCTGGCGGATGGGCTCCGTTCTCCGGCACCACTTCTCGCGGCGCACAAGCGTAGGCAGGTACTCCAGGACCCACCTCCTCCAGAAACGGTCTCGCAGCATGCGAGCAATCCTCCACTGCTTTCGCGTAGAACCCTCCTTGGGCAGCTCCGCATCCAATCCAGGCGTATTCGGCAGGTTAGCTGCTCCCTTGAGCAGATCATTTGGCGTCAACGGCGCCTCTTGGTCCGCATCCATCGGCAAGTGGGTGAGCGGACGCGAGTTGACTACATTCTCCGCCTCGATCAGGAAACTCTCCAACACATGGTCCCTCGGCGCGACTTCCTTCAGGGTATGGCGCAGCACTCGTTTGACGCACTGCACCATCCGCTCCCATACTCCGCCCTCAGACGGGTTCGATGGGCAATTGAAATCCCATTCAATGCTTCTGCTGGACAACTCACTCTGTATCCTCTCCGTCTCGAACACGTCTCCAAATCGCTTGGCCTCCCTGTCAGCTCCCACGAAGTTCTTGCCGTTATCACTCCGCAGTCTATGTACTGGTCCTCTACGGCAGACGAAGTTTCTCATCGCTATTATGCAGGAATCCGTCGACAGGTCATGAGCCAACTCCAGATGAATCGCCCTTGTCGTCAAGCATGTGAACAAGGCGACCCAACGCTTCTCTCTGTGACGGGATACAGTCACCAGCAGTGGCCCAAAGTACTTGAATGGCCATCCACCCGCTTCCAGTCGATCCTCTGGTAGGGGTCCCATTATCGGCGGCATCGGCCGCGTTCGCTGCAACTTGCACTCGTTGCACGACGAGATTACTTCCTTCAGCACTCGTCTCATCTTCGTGACCCAGAATATCGTCCGAATCTGAGCAATCGTCGCATCCACGTTTTGATGCTTCATCTGGGCATGAAAGTGCCTCACAATCAAATCCGTAAGACTGTGCCTGTGTGACAGTATTACGGGCCTCTCGTCGGGGAACGACTCCAACTGGGCCTGTCTGACTAACAGGTTCTCCGCGGCCTCACACTCCGATGCAGTGAGTCCGTACTCCTCGATCTCGCTTCTCTGCTTGCGACACCAACGCGCAAACCTCGAGACCCATGCTGTGGTCCTCACCAGGCGACTGAAGCTCGAGAATCTCTGGAACGGAATGGCAAATTCATCCGCGGCCACCAATGCAAACTCACCGGGCATCTCCTCTTCATCAGGCGCATCTGGAACACGCTTAGTTCCCTCCTCAGGCGCATCTGGAACACGCTTAGTTCCCTCCTCAGGCGCATCTGGAACACGCTTAGTTCCCTCCTCAGGCGCATCTGGAACACGCTTAGTTCCCTCCTCAGGCGCCGGCCAGCCGCTCGCTGGCTGCCTCAAAAATGCGGGTCCACTTAGCCAACGTGATTCCGGGCTAAGGTCCGCCTTATTCTGCGACCGCGTCGCATCATCCGCTGCGTTGTCGGCTGTAGGTACCCACCTCCACTGGGAAACCTTCGACGACTCCAAAATCTCCGCCACTCGGTTGCCAACAAACTGCTTGTACCGGCGGTGGGTGCTGCCGATCCATCTCAGCACCGTCTTTGAGTCCGTCCACAACACCGTCTCGCTGATGTCCACACTGTGCTCCTCCTGGACAGTGTTCATCAGTCTGGTTCCAAGAACCGCTGCCTGCAGCTCCAACCTTGGGATCGACATCGTTCTCATCGGCGAGCACTTCGTCTTTGCGCACACGAAGCTATCCGGGTCTCGATCGTCGTTGCCATCTCTCCAAAGGAATCGTTGGGAACATCGATCCTCGGGTCGGATCAGCACTTGGTGGAACATCTCCTTGATGTCACCGCAGACTCCGACTGCTCCTTCCCTGAAGTGGAAGAGCACGACTGGCAAGGGCTTGTAATGCTGAGGCCCCTTGTCCAGCGCCCAATTTAGCGAGGTTCCTCCAACCTTGGCTGCAGCATCGAACACAAGCCGGACCTTACCGGGCTTGTTCGGGTTTTCGACACCAAAATGTGGCAAATACCATAGCCGGTCGCTCGTCACCGCGACCTCATCCTGCTGCAGCTTCCTCGCATATCCTTTGGATACGTAATCCTTGATGATACGATCGTATTCCAGCGCCAACTGCCCGTTGCGCTTCAACTTCTTCTCCACATTGATCAGCCGTCTGTGCGCCATCTCATAGCTCCGTGGCAGCACAGCGTAGTCGTCCTTCCAGAGTAATCCCGTCTGGTAGCGACGCCTCACTTTCACCGTGGTATCTTCGAGGATCCTTTGTGCCCGCGCGTCATCGCTGCCTGCGATCTGTGGCGCGAGCTTCACACCAAAGCTTTCCATCTCGAAGTAGTCCTCCGCCATCTTTTCCATCGTATCATCCATTGACACGGCTAGAAGGCAGGACCTCGGTGACGGCGTAGTCGATTGCCCACTTACTGGCCCAAACACAACCCATCCAAGCTCGGTTGCGGCCGCATACGGTCCCTCTTTGGCAAACCGCCTCGTCCTAAGTGGCAATCCCAAATGTCCATGGTCCAGTCCGATGAGCAACTTAGGCACCACGTTGATGTAGGGCTTCATCGGCAGACGCGCATCCTTATGCACGCCCTGGACATCTCGTCGACCTAACGTCTGCATTGGCAGACTCAGGCTCGAAACGGAGTACACGTTCCTTAAAGCGAGGCGAGTGGGCTTCCCAGCTCCACTTATCTCTAGGCTCACCACGTTGCTGGGCTCTCTGCTGGCCCTTCCTCCAAACCATTGTATATTCAGCTGTCGATGTACGCCTCGCACTCCCAGATTCCTCCGTAGCTCGTCATCGATCATCGTGACGGAGGATCCCTTATCCAAGAGCGCGTATGTATCCACCTGGCGACCAGCTCCGTACAGCGTTACTGGCAGTATACGGAACAAAAGTCGGCCTCCCTCGGCGTCAACGCAGTTTAAGTTCCTCTGCACGGGCGCCTCCGCTGGCTGCGGGGCCCTTATCTCCAGGCTGTTTTCCACCTCGTGGCGAAGACCTCCTGTCCGGGCCGCGTCTGGAAACTGCTGACTGCTGGTTTCCTCCGTTGTGGCTCCTGAAGCCACCTCGCTGCGCCGGCCATCTTCGCTCCTCGTCCGCACCATGTAGCAGACGGTGATGCAATCTGCGGCATCCGTTGATCTGGCACTCGCCATGTACATCGCAGGTTCTGGTCGTATGTCCACTCCGTAAGCATGTGAAGCAGAGCCGATGCTTCCTCACTATGCTCCACCTACCCGGTGGCGAAGCTCCAATGAACTCCCTGCAGCTCGTCGCAGCATGTTGCCCTCCACAAATTGGACAACCTCCATGCCGATCATCCTGTTGATCGCATCCGTTCTGGTCGACGCTCGCATGTAGAACTCGACGCCTCGGCTCCTTTCCCTCGACGTCCAAAACCGTACACACGACGTTTGCGTACTCCTGCAGCCACACGCTGAAGTGCGCCACAGTGGGAAAGGGCTCGATCGATGCAGCGTGCCTGGCCCAGTCTACTCGCTTGCTCGTAGGAAGCTTTGCCACAAGCTCCTCCATTAGCGTTGGGTTCCGCAGGTGCTGCTCCGCCTTCGCTGACTGCAAGAAGGCCGTGAGGTTACTCACTCGGGTTGCGAAGGGAACGATCCTCGCCAGGTGCTGCTCCGAAATCGGCGGCACCTCTCGCACGCTGTTCAGCTGGCTGCGTATAAGCTGCTCCGGTCGGCCGAACCTAAAGCGCAGCTGCTCCATCACGGCGCTGACGTTCCCAGGGTGAATCAGCAGCGACTTCACTGTCTCGCGTGCTTCATCCTTCAGCGCCTTCAACATCCTCTGGTTGTTCTCCAAGTCTGTGCAGTTGTAGGCTTGGGTCGTCACCACAAACGCACAGTTAAAGATCGGCCACTCCTCGGGCTGCCCTCCAAATACAGGCAGGTCCGGAAGCTTCCTTGGCCCGTACACTCTTTGGGATTCATTCGGCGTTATCGGGGCGTAGGACCCAACAAATGGCGATGCTGTTGCCACGTTGTGGGTGCTCCCGCCCGGTAGCACGAATCCATGCGCTGTCTGCGCAACACTTGTAGCACACAGTGGCTCCACAAAATGATTGCTAGTCGTTAGCAATGGCGGTCCACTCCAAGATGGCGGCAGCGTGCAGGCCGCACTGCTCGCACCGACACCGCTATGTGGGACCGGCCCGACCCCGTTAGTTGAGGCCTCACCGTTAGATATGGCTAATGGCGGTCCGCTCTAAGATGGCGGCCGCCCCGACGCTCCACTGATGGCGCCATCTGCGCTTGGGCCAACTGCGATTGGCGCGCAATTGGCGGTGCTCACACTGTTCAGGGCTTTAACCTGCTTTAGCTCCTCCTCCAACGCCGCAATCCTTTTCAAAAGGTCCGACGTGAGGGACTGGTTCGTCTCCGGCTCTGATCCCGCAGCTGTGACAGCAGTACTCCTCGGTTGGGACGCTACTGTAGTCACCGTAGTGGCTGGGCTAGAAATGGCCGCCGCCGAGGTTATGTTCACTCGCGGCCGGTTTTCTGCTCCACTACTCACTGGCTGCTGATCCGCTCGCGCTGCTGTAGGGGTGGCTTCCCCTCCTCTCAGCCGCGAGCTCCTCTTCGGGGAATGCTGCATCCTAACAGGTCCAAATACGGCGCTGCCTCAGCGCTCTCCAAAATGGCGGCACCTGTGCCTTCTGGCCGCTGGCTGCGGCAGGCGATGCTTGACGCTCCTTGCGTCTTCTGGCCCGCTGTCTGCGGACCCCGTGCTTGGCGCTCCTTGCGCCTCCTGACCGCTGTCTGCGGTCTCCTTAACTGACGCGGCCTGCGTCTCCCTGTCGCTGACTGCGACTCCGTCCGTACCCAGTGCTCGGCGCTGTCTGCGCCCGTCTATGTCGCTGCCTGCGACTCCTCTACTGGTACGGGAATTGCTCCTGGCAAATCTCTAGCTGGTCGTCAAGCCGTCCTCCAGCGCAAGTTGCCCTTACAGTCTCCCTAGGACTGCGAATAAAAGGAGTTGTCTTGCAACATATGGAGTTGCCTTGTTAACGACTACCCCACACGCGTAGGTCCGAAGAGAGGGTGAACTTTAAGGGCGGCGTGTGCCTGGTGGCGCTCGTGGCAGTCGTTTTATTCTGTTAACAATTCAAATCAGCCTCATACATTTCAAACTAACTTAATCTTACCGCAGTGTGCCCTCCTACGATTCACAAGACAATGAGAAGCACAATTTATGGCGGCATCCATTAAACCGATATTAGTAGGCCCGCACTTCAAGGGCCAAGAAATCCATACGAGATCGGATAAATTAACAAATACTAGATTTCTCTTACAATACTTAGTCTACCTATCGATTACAATGTTCGACCGTCGACATTTGTTTTTATAACTTATGATTTTTTGTATTAATAACATTAAAGCACAATTTTTATTTTTGTGTAAGTAAACAAACATGGCTTTTTAAATAAAAATCTCAAACATCTCTAATTTTCCGTCCCTGGAAAAGTGGTATTTTTTCCGCATCTGCAAAATAAATAAATGATTTAATAAATAATAAAAAAAATACATAAATAATTTTTTACAACAAAATAAAATAAATCAAGTGACCGAAAACAAAAGTTTGCAAATTTCTTCTCGATATTTTTTTAATTTTCTTATATTTTTAGACAAGGCTGATGGTAAATCTATAAAAAAATGGAAGGCTAAGTCGTTCCATCTTAAGCATATTATCCGAGGAACTTGTTCTGTCCCACAACTTGGAGGGGGCAAAACAAGAAGAGGCTCAGACTACCCAAATTTCGCCCGTGCCTTATTAAGTAAGTTTTTGTTGAGGCTGAAAACTATTGTTTGTATGTTTAATTTTTAAAAGACTTCTGGGATTTTACATTGAATGCCAAAGATAACATTTCTTTTATTATAAATAAATCTTACAAATAACGATTACTTTCGGTCACTCGTTTTTATTCTCGTCTTGTTTTATTTTTAAAACTAATTTTTTTCTAATACTAGATGCAATCGCCCTAGTGGATCCCTCGGAGCCTCCCGAAAAGGCGCTGCAGAAGGCAATGCGGTGCGTTAAAAACTTGAGTTGTACCAAAAAAAGGCAACGCCGGCACCGATAACACCGGAAACCCCCGAGCTCAAATTTTAAAATAAACAAATAAAAATTACAACTGAAATTTTATTTGCTGCTAAGCGCTCAACGTGTGCTGAATGTGCGCTTTTTCGCTGCTTCAATGAGCGCTCAACGTGTGCTGAATGTGTGCTTTTTCCGCTGCTCAATCGAGCGCTCAACATGTGCTGAATGTGTGCTTTTTCCGCTGCTTCTGTTATAGTTTTAGTGTCCTTTACTTGCATGAATCTAATCGAAATGGGAAACTTGATCTATTTGTTCTACCACTTTGAAAAATACCCGCTAGTTCGGCGGGAAATATAAGAAACGACAGGTTTCTCTTGGAATCTGAAACTATACAGCCCTTGAGATTCCAAACTTGTGCTATTAAAATAGGTAATTGAAGTGATAAAGCTTGTTAATAATAAGTTTAAGGTACTTAAACTCTTGCCACTACGCCACTACTTTTTATCCGTTAAGAGGTGTTTTTGTTTGATATATTAATGAGAAGGCGGGGGTATTAATATGCTAATTATTAAGGGGGAGGGGGCATTTAATATGCAAATTGACCCAGAGTCCGTCTTTGCCATCTACTAACCAAATACCAACTTAATTTTAACTTAAAAAATTCAGTCTCTCCACAAACTGGTTAGCTAAAATGTTTGTGGGAAAAGGCCAGTAATCGCAATTTAAAATTTTTTATTGCTTTAAAATTGATCACAAAACTTTTTCTTGCGTATCACCAAGAGAACTCAATGATAATTAATTGCCAAAGAAAAACTGATGAACAAATTTGGAGACAAAGTAGTGAGAAATGTTTTGCTCTCACTACTAACTTTCTCTCTTACTGGTTTTCGTAAAAGAAATTTGTGTTTGTCAAGAAATCTGAATATGCATAAAACTGCAGAAATACATTTGTTACGGACATCAAACAAAAACAGCTGCACAGCATCAGAGAAGTAAATCGTAAATTGGACGAAGAGAAAAAATGACTTTTAAAATAAATTAATAGGCTTTCCATACATTACGGAATAATAGCTTTATCGTCTTTGGAAACTTATTCCCTAATGTAATCATTTTTTAAGCAACAAATTAATAGATTTATATATATATATATATATATATATATAATATATGGACGGAGCATAACCCACGAACCCACGAAGCTACAGAACATGTTCCATTTACATCCAATGTAACAATCTAAGCTACCTCACTAGTTTCCCACGTTAAAGCAAATGGACATTAAATGAGAAGTAGGTAAGGTTAGGTTAGGTAGGTGTGGTTAGAGACTAGATAACTAATCCCCCCACTTAGGCCACAATGGGCACTGGTTCTTTTCGAGTTGTAATTTGGCCACGTGAGTCTAGAATTGTGGCATGTTGAGATTGTGTTCCATCGATTGTTGGAGAGAGTGTACAGTCTCTGCCTGAGGTGGAGCTAGTAGGTAGCCATGGGCATACCCACCGTGTTCTTATCGCGAAGGATGTCGGCGGTTGTCCCTTGTCTTGCTAGCTCGTCTGCTATGCAGTTGCCATCAATATTATGGTGTCTAGGCACCCAGATGAGAGTGATTCTCAGATGAGTGGCCATCTCGTTCAGAGATTTGCAGCATTTAGAGATAGTTGTTGAGTTTGTTGTGTAGGAGTCGAGGGCCCTGAGGGCTGCTGACTGACTGTCCGAAAAGATTAAGATGTCTGTGTTGTGATGTTTTGATGTATCCAGGTAGGACATTGCTTCCTAAATTGCCATGACTTCCGCTCGGAAAACACTACAGTGGTCTAGTAGGCGGAGTGAGACTCTTATGTCCAGATCGGGAGAGAAATCTCCCCCACCTGTTTGCGAGTTAAGCTTGGAGCCGTCTGTGTATATGTTGACGGCGTTTTCGAATTGGTGTGGGAGGTTGTCCCAGTCTGTACGGGTAGGTATGAAGATCTTGTATCTTCTTTCGAAGGGTGGAACGTAGTCTGTAATATGTGGTATGGATAACTGATTTGTTAGGATACTGGAGTGTTCCGTTGAGCCTGTTGTCCATGCCGCTGCTTCGCGGAGCCTCAGCGCTGTTGCAGATGCCCAGCTTTTGGCAAGTAGGTCCAGGGGTTGAAGGTCGAGGATTGTGCTTAGTGCTTCAGTGGCGGTGGTGCGGAGCGCCCCAATGATGGAGAGCTCTGCGCTTCTTTGGATCAATACAATTCTTTTCTAGGGAAGGCCACCACACGATGTTTCCATAGAGAAGAATGGGCCTGACTATTGCAGTGTATAGCCAGTGAACTATTATTGGGGAGAAACCCATCTTCCATTCTATAGCTTTTTTTAAAAAAGAAGAGTGCTATGGTCGCTTTGCGTGTGGGATCTAAGATGTTGTCTATCCAGTGGAGCTTTTGGTCAAGGATGACACCTAAGTACTTTGCTTGGTTACTAAAGGTGTAGTTTTGGAAAAGTTAGACTTGGTATCTTATAATTCCTCGTGAATAGCACGTACCACTTTAGTACCGGCTTGCTGTAGATGTGATAGTAGTTTGCTGACCACTATAAGCCATAGAAGAGGTTAGAGTAAGCCCCTTTATGGGATTCCTCTGCTGACATTCCTGGTCGAGTGTGCAGATCACATAGTGGAGTACACTACTCTGCTGGTAAACATGGTGTGTATGAGACCCACTATGGGCCGCTCAATGCCCACTTTAAATTACTTTAACGTCCACCCACCTTGTAGGAATGTGGTACAAGGCAGCCGTGGAAGATGGCTGTCAGCCAGGGTAGGGATATATCTAGTCTCCGTTGAAGTTGGCCGGGAAGAAACGTTCCGGGCCGGGGTTCTTGAAGGGCTTAAAAGAGTTAATAGCCCGCTTGGTGTGGTCAGGGTCTGAGATGTTGTTTATGCTCTGGTCGTCAAGATTCTCCTTTATGTAGAGGTCCTCCACTGCTTGGGTATTTTTAGGGAAATGGGTGTCCAACAGGAGTTCAAGGGCTTGCTGACTGTTTTCCGCCCATTGGTTGTTAGGTAACCGATGGTGGCTGGAGATTTTGCTAAAATTCTTCTGAGTCTGGATGCCTCTGCAGTAGATTCTATGCTACTACAGAAATAAGCCCATCCTCTTCGTTTTGATATTCTTATTTCCTTTTTATTTGAAGGGCTTAAAAGAGTTAATAGCCCGCTTGATGCCATCAATGTTTGATAATTTGTCTATGCTCTGGTCGTCAAGGTTCTCCTTTATGTAGAGGTCCTTCACTGCTTGGGATTTTTTAGGCAAATGGGTGTCTAACAGGAGTTCAAGGGTTTAATGACTGTTTTCCGTCCAGCTGTCAACATTGGTTGTTAGACAACCGATGGTTGCTGGAGATTTTGCTAAAATTCTTCTGAGTCTGGATGCCTCCGCAGTAGATTCTATGATACTACAGAAATTAGCCCATGCTCTTCGCTTTGATTTCTTATTATCTTTTTGTATAGGCTAAGCTTTGTATTGTATAAGCTTTCTAGTTCTTGGCCGTTGAGTACGTGCGTCGGTGGAACAGTTGGTAAGTCTTAGATTAGTAATGTTCTCGGCGGAAGCACAGTCTAGAGCTATTGTAAATTCTATGTATCGGTGGTTTGGGAATAAGTGTTCGACCCCCACTTTTCACGCTTCTAGCTGGTTAAGTAGGGGATCAGATATTAGTGTAATGTCTAAGAGTTCCCTCCTATTTCCCGTAATAAAAGTTGGGTCATTACATTTGTTGCACATAAATAGATTTGATTGAAGGAGATTGATAGTCATAGAGTAACTCACCGCTTTGAGTTTGTACTTCCCAATTGCGTGTTGTGAGTTAGCGTCCACTCCCAGGATGAGTTTCTTAAATGAGTGTGCATGTATGAGTTGTTGTGTTGTGGTGTTTGGTAATGGCCCGTCATAGTCGTGAGCCAGATAGAATGATGCAATGGTGTGATGAGGGTGTTCGTTTAGCTCCAGTCTGACCGTGGCGAGGTCGCATTCGCTAAACTGAGAAATATGATAAGCGTTAATGTGTGTCTTGGTAAGAATGCATGTTCTGTGTTTACCCTTTCCCTTGGTGTGAAATAGTTTGTATAGGGGGTTGATAAGCCACAGATGTTGTTACCAACAATGCATTGCTCTTGAATGAGGACTGCGTATATATTGCCTGTTGCCAGGCGGATGAGGAGGGCAGCTAATGCTGCCTTGCTGTTGTGAAGATTAATCTGTAGAAACTGCACCATCTTTAGGACCATGATCGGGCTGGGTACCATCCGCTTCCTCCGCTATGTCCTGGAGAACAGTGCGCCCTGGTCGGGTCGTGTCCTGAGTGCACAGCTGCTTCAGGCTTTCGGTGAGCTCTGAGTCAGTTGACACGTTCCCTGTATGGATGGCGTCCTTGTGTTCCATTTCGTCGTCACTCAAGGGCTCATACGATGCGCAGGCAGCCAGGTTGTCCACAGCTAGCTTGTCCATGTCATAGATGCGAAGCTGCACCTTGTCAAGACCATAATTCAGCCGGTTCTGTTACGCTGCGAGGGGTTCCAATCAGGCCTGGTTCAGGAGGAGTACCACGTTCATGGTGACGTGCTCGGTTTTCTCCACCTTAACCACTTTCCAACCATCTGTCGGAAGCTTCGGGTTGAACCTAGTCAGCAGTCTGAGGATAGCCCCTGGCTCCGAGGGTTCAGACGGCAGCCACACCCTCGCTCTTGGTCGACCCGGGATGTCTGCAGCCTCGCAAACTGCCAGCTTGACTCCGGGGGAGACCTCGCCGACCTTGTTGATTGCAGGCTTGTAGAGCGCTGCCAATCTTTCGACCTCACAGGCGATCAACTTCACATTTTCCTGTTACCTCCCCGAATCTGTGCAATCGGGTGGTGGACCTGGGTTTTCGTCCAGCACTTTCAAGGCCACTGTCGCAAGGGCCCGTCTAACCAGACCCCACTGGTTTCTGGGGATCCTATCGCCTTCTTCGCTCTGGTCGATGACGCCAATGATCTTCCGATCCTTTACCACTTCTGTTTAGAACCTCGACCATGTGCCGTCTTGGTTGTCTTGCCCTTCTTGCTTGTTGCTATTGCTGGTGGTCAAAGCGATGTCAAAGTCTGAGATTACCGCCTTTGCCCAGGCTATATCTTCTTGGATTTTTTGGTGATCCACTTTAGACGTTTGATCCTCACGTATGGGGTTGGTGGCCAGCCGTTTGAGGATTCTGAATGCCTTCTTACGTTCCAGAGGTCCTGTTGTTCTGTGTCCTCTTAAACTCATTGGCCCTGGTGCTCACCACAAGATCAGCTTTGGCAGTCCCCTAAGGTTGGGTTAGCTGGTTAGCCGTTTCTACGCTGTTCGGAGGTTTCGGCTGGTCCTTGTGGTGTTTCGGGCTTACACGGCTGCGTTGTTTGCTGACCTTGCAGGGGTTGAAGTCACGTGGACTTGGGCTTTCGGAGCCGTGATCTTGCTCTTTCTATCGTCGTTGGTTACGACATCCGACTTTTTAACAGTGTTGGGCTCTTGTTTGGTGGTGTTGTTGTTCTTCCTATTTCAATTCTCCATAATAAAATCCCACGAGCTGCGCAGAAGGGACAGGTCCACCTGGGCAGAGATCCGCTCTACCCGGGTAAGGCTGACTTAGAACGGGCTATACGCAACCTGCGACCCGTTTGATAGCCTCCAAGCCGTGCCACTAGCTCTTTGGCCGAAAAATGAGAAGTAAAAGTGCACGGTTTGTGGTCGTTAGAGTGGGCGCTGCGCAGGAATCTCAGGAATCTGCATGCCTAATCCCAGTATTGTAGCTTGTATAGTTTCCGAGATCTCCGCGTTCATACGGACAGACGGACAGACGGACGGACGGACATGGCTAGATCGACTCGGCTAGTGATCCTGATCAAGAATATATATACTTTATGGGGTCGTAAACGCTTCCTTCTGCCTGTTACATACTTTCCGACGAATCTAGTATACCCTTTTACTCTTCGAGTAACGGGTATAAAAATGGAAAATACAAGATTCCCAAAAAAACACGTGGCGGCAAAAAATAGCTGTGAAAAATATTAATTTTCGAAAAACAACAAATGATGCATATAAATAAACAAGTGAAGGAATCTGTGAAAAAATTTGAAAATCTTATTGAGTGCTAAGTTCCTAGGGACCAAAATAAGAGATGTTTGTTTTTATAACTTATGTTTTTTTTGTATTAATACCATTAAAGCACAATTTTTATTTTTGTGTTAGTAAACACAAAAGTTTGCAAATTTCTTCTCGATATTTTTCTAATTTTCTTATATTTTTAGACAAGGCTGATGGTAAATCTATAAAAAAAATGGAAGGCTAAGTCGTTACATCTTAAGCATATTATCCGAGGAACTTGTTCTGTCCCACAACTTGGAGGGGGGGGCAAGACAAGAAGAAGCTGTCTACCCAAATTTCGTCCGCGCCTTATTAAGTAAGTTTTTATTGAGGCTGAAAGTAACTATTGTTTGTAAGTTTAATTTTTAAAAGACTTCTGGGATTTTAACATTGAATGCCAAAGATAACATTTTTTTATTATAAATAAATCTTACAAATAACGATTACTTTCGGTCAAACGTTTTTGTTCTCGTCTCGTTTTATTTTTAAAACTAATTTTTTTCTAATACTAGATGCAATCGCTCTGGTGGAGCCCTCGGAGCCTCCCGAAAAGGCGCTGCAGAAGGCAATGCGGTGCATTAAAAACTTAAGTTGTACCAAAAAAAAGGCAACGCCGGCACCAGATGCTGAGGAGGAGGTGCCAGCGACCCCGATAACACGGGAAACCCCCGGCTCAAATTTTCAAATAAACGAATAAAAATAAAAACAAGGAAGAACGCTATAGTCGAGTACCTCGACTATCAGATACCCGTTACTCAGCTAAATAGGGATATGCAAGTAGCAAAGCGAGATTAAAATGCGCCACCTACCGGCGGTATACAGATTTAAGCGTTATGGGCGTTAGAGTGGGCGTGGCAAATTTTTTTTTGGACCAATCGATAGGTATTGACAAGACCAATACATTTCAGTTAAATTTGTTTATCTAGCATGAAAATTGTGGGCGTCACAGGTTTTCGCGGTTTGTGGGCGGTAAAGTGGGCCTGGAAAACTTTTTTTTTGGCCAATCGATAGGTATTGATGAGAACAATACATTTCAGTTAAAATTTTTTATCTAGCATGAAAATTGTGGGCGACACAGGTTTTCGCGGTTTGTGGGCGTTAAAGTGGGCGTGGCAAACTTTTTTTGGGTCAATCGATAGGTATTGATGAGAACAATACATTTCAGTTAAAATTTTCTATCTAGCATCAAAACTGTATGAGCCACAGTTTTGGGCGGTTTGTGGGCGTTAGAGTGGGCGTGGCACTCTACTGAAACAAACTTGCGCTGCGCAGGAATCTCAGGAATCTGCGTGCCTAATCCCAGTATTGTAACTCTCATAGTTTCCGAGATCTCAGCGTTCATACGGACAGACGGACAGACGGACAGACGGACAGACGGACAGACGGACAGACGGACAGACGGACAGACGGACATGGCTAGATCGACTCGGCTAGTGATCCTGATCAAGAATATATATACTTTATGGGGTCGGAAACGCTTCCTTCTGCCTGTTACATACTTTCCGACGAATCTAGTATACCCTTTTACTCTACGAGTAACGGGTATAATTACAACTGACATTTTATTTGCTGCTTAGCGCTCAACGTGTGCTGAATGTGTGCTTTTTCCGCTGCTAAATCGAGAGCTCAACGTGTGCTGATTGTGTGCTTTTTCCGCTGCTGAATCGAGCGCTCAACATGTGCTGCACGTGTGCTTTTTTTGCTGCTCAAAAAAGCGCTCAAAAGGGTGCTCAAAAAAGCGCCAAATGCGTGCTGGTTTTTGTGCACTGATGAACCCCAGGACATGCCTATGTTAATTTAAGCACTCAATTCCAAACAAATTGTGCGCTCATTGAGCGCTCAGTGATGAACTTTCTGCAGTGATTGAGTGCTCAATAAGCGCTGAATGGTACTGCATGGTATTTACAGTTTTATATAATTTCTATATATTTTTTTTATTTATTTAGATCTTTATTTTAAAATGTTGGCTCGGGGGTTCCCGGTCCTAACGGAGTCGTTGGCACCTCCTCGCCAGCATCTGGGGCCGGCGTTGCCTTTTTTTTTGGTGCAGCTCAAATTCTTCACGCACCGCATTGCCTTCTGGAGCACCTTTTCGGGAGGCTCCGAGGCCTCCACCAGAGCGATTGCATCTAGTATTAGAAGAAAAATTAGTTTTGAAAATAGAACGAGACGAGAATAAAAAAGAGTGACCGAAAGTAATAGTTATCTTTAAGTTTTATATATAATTAAGAAAATGTTATCCTTTGCATTTTAAGAAAATCACGGAAGTCTTTTAAAAATTAAACTTACAAATAAACTTAAGCTTAAATTTAAAAAAACAAGAGAAGAAACTCTGAAATTTTTGTTTTCGGTCACTTGATTTTTTTATTCTTTTTTGTAAAAAATAATAAAGAAAAATCTACCACACGTTATTTATATATCTTTCTTTATTTATTAAAAATTTTTTTTTTTCATTTGCGGGAAAACTAACACTTTTAGGGGGACTAAAAATTGAGATTTTCCAATTGTACTAGATTTATGCGTACATCTTCTTTGACTTAGACGCCTTTTTAAAATCGACTTTTAAATATTACATGGGGTATTTTGTTAGTATGCGGTCACACTTAACGGCTTGGCTATTTTTTATATGCCAGAGAGGTAGATAGCTAGATGTGGAGGCCATTACGTCACAATAGACAAAGCGGAATGGGAAAAAATTTGTTGGATTTGGTTAAGGAGGCTTAATTTCCAATAAAAAATTATGCAGTTATTTGCGGGTATGCCTTAAGATTATGAACGGCACATTTTAAAAGAAAAAATTATTTAAAAATAAATGGAATTTTGTGGCAGTTTGGGTAACTTATCCACCAATTTATACTAGGCAGGCGTCTTCGAATTATTTCCGAATTTCTGTTTATTTATAATATTGTTATGTCAAGCTGTTTTTGCTGCAGGAGCCACTGCCCATTTTTATACCCGTTACTCGTAGTGCCCACATTTTTTAATATTTTGTAAAATGTTAACTGACATTTTTTTCTTATTGTTAGTACCTATCAATTGAAGTCGGACTAGTCATTTAAAAGATAACCAAATAATAATCAAAATTGTGCATCGAATTGCACACCACATGCAGCAAATAAGCTATTTTCGCTAATACGCCACCAAGCCTCTACGGGCGCTGTAGGCTAGTTGGCGCTGTAGGCCAAGTGGCGATATAGAAGATGAAAAAAGGTGGCGATATATGCATATCTCCATCCCCCTCGCACTCCCTTCTGCTTAGTAAAAGACGAGGCAATCGTTATGCCCCTGCAGAGGATACTATGATATCAGTCACAAGTTTGCAACGCAGTGAAGGAGACGTTTCCGACCCCATAAAGTATGTATATTCTTGATCAGCATCACTAGACGAGTCGATCTAGCCATGTCCGCCTGTCCGTCCTTTTCTACGCAAACTAATCTCTCAGTTCTAAAGCTATCGGACTGAAACTGTCCCAAAAGCCTTATATCTTTTGCAGGTAGTATATAAGTCGGAACCAGCCGAATCGGACAACTATATCTTATAGCTCCCATAGGAATAATCGGAAAATTGGTTGGAAAATAATATGAAACAAATTATAGCTTCGGTGTTTTCTGACATATTATCTTATACTATTGGGAATATCATTTTTTATATTTTTAAATGTAATAATTATAACTGCAAGGGTATACAAGCTTCAGCTTGCCGAAGTTAACTTCCTTTTCTGTTTTTTTTCAGTCTCGATCATGCTTTCGTGGAGTGCAGACGCGTTTTTGCATCGCTGTGAAATTCCCTGTGAAGAGTCTATGGACAAGTCCACCTCCGTGGCAAAACCTACTTCTTTTGTGAATCCGACTTCTAAGGTCGCGGTGTCAGTGCTTCTACGCTCCGTAAGTTGCGTCTTGTCGCGAAAACAAAACAAGTGAAACAGAAAGTAAAAACTAACAGTTGTATTTTTTGTACGTACAAATCACCGCTAGTTGGTTTAAATTCGAACTCGAAATATATTTGAACTCATTACTTTCTTCCAAAAAAAAGTAAAATAACTTGGAATTTGCTCGCCTCTCGGTGAGTTCGGGCCCGATTGCGGGATAGCAGTTTTAAGCGGAGTCTGCAACTCGGTCTCGCGATTGTTTAATAAAGTTTAAACAAACGCTTTCTTTGCTGTCGTTATCGTGCATTCGGTCACAAACACACGAACATACATACATATGTGCATATAAAAGTGCATAGCCGGCCGTTTGATTTTTTGTACATTTTGCGCTGTGAAAAAACACCAAAACTGTGCTGTGCAAATAATTTTTAACAAAGTGAATCGCATTTAATCTTTATAATAGCGCATATTACATATATATATACAGGGTGGCTGATGAATTTTGCTACATTAAGAAACTTAAATAATTTTTTTTTCAGTGTATGGAATTCATTTTATTTTATTCATGTAAAGCTCATTCAATTTTATTAAATATAGCTTAATTAGTTTTAAAAATAATGGAATTTAAATGCTCCCTCTGCTCGTTGATGCATGTACGGCATCTTACCAAAAAGTTGTTCGTTACTGCTTGGAGAGTTGAGAATAGCCGCAATAGCCGCAATTGTTTCTCGAATGGATTGCCTTAGTTCATTCAAATTTGTTGGTTTTGCTTTATAAACTTCCTGTTTGCAATAACCCCACAAGAAAAAGTCAAGCTTATTGGGAAGTTTTCGTCGCAATTCTGTCATAACAGGTTGGGCTATGTGAGGAGCTGCACCATCAAATTCTCATTCGGCGTAATTCTGGATAGAAAAACTCTCTTAACATGCTGAAGTAACGGTTTCCAGTAACCGTAACTGTGTGACCGTTTTCGTCTTGGAAGTAGGGCCCGACAATGCAGCGTGATGAAACTGCACACCACAGTGTGACACGAAGTGGATGCAATTCCGTCTCATGGAGTATCTGTGTGTTGGAAGCACCAATATTCGACAATTTTGTTTGTTTATGTTGCCGTTTAAATCGAAATGGCCCAGTCGTAAGTTGCGGAACGTGTTTTAAAAAAACATAGTTCTGGGTCGTACCTTTTTTACGCAAAACAGCACGCATGCAAATTTTGCAAGGCAAATGTGCGTGCTGGGTGCATTCTATTGCGGTGCCTTCTAGAAGTGTTTCAGAATAATGCATCCAGAAGAATGCCCAAACGGGTATTCGGGACCGTATTCCGAAGCAAATAGGTCTGGGTCGAATCTTTTTTACGCAAAACAACACGTATGCAAATTTACCTAGCAAATGT